CTATATTCAGCAACCGTTTACGCAAAATCTGTTTTCGCAAATGTTCCCGAACTCGACTATATTGTGCAGCTCTCCACGCTCTTTGCAGCGATATACAGTACATTGGGGCACAAGCTCACAAACGTCAAAATCGCAAGGATTGATAAGTGCTAATTACTTTGTTTGCATATATTAAATGCCAGACTAGAGAATTTACAATGCGCAAACATCAATATTCAGCAAGCGTTTCCGCAAAATCTGTCTTCCCAATTGTTCTTAAACTCCACTACATTATGCAGTATTTCATGGTCTTTCCAATGATGTACAGCAAATTGTGGCACAAGCTCACGAACGTCAAAACGGCAAGGATTAATAAGTTGCTAATTTCTTTGTTTATCGAATTACACTGCGCAAACATCTATATTCACCAACCGTTTACGCAAAATCTGTCTTGGCAATCGTTCCCGAACTCGACTATATTGTGCAGTTTTGCACGCTCTTTCCAGCGATATACAGCACATTGGGGCACAAGCTCACAAACGTCAAAATCGCAAGGATTAATAAGTGCCCAGTTACTTTGTTTGCATATATTAAATGCCAGACTAGAGAATTTACAATGCGCAAACATCAATATTCAGCAAGCGTTTCCGCAAAATCTGTCTCCCCAATTGTTCCGAAATTCAACTATATTGTGCAGTATTTCATGCTCTTTCTAATGCTGTACAGCACATTTGGGCACAAGTTCAGGAACGTCAAAACTGCAAGGATTAGTAAGGTGATCATCTCTTTAATTTTTTATAGAATTACACTGGGCAAACATCAATATTCAGCAAGCGTTTGCGAAAAATCTACCTACCCAATTGTTCCGAAACTCACCTATGTTGTGCAGTATTTCATGCCCTTTCTAATGATGTACAGCAAATTGGGGCACACGCTCAGCAACATCGAAGCTGCAAGGATTAGTAAGGTGATCATTCCTTTAATTTTTTATTGAATTACGCTGCGCAAACATCAATATTCAGCAAGCGTTTGCGCAGAATTTGCCTACCCAATTGTTCTGAAACTCACCTATATTGTGCAGTATTTCATGCTCTTTCTAATGAAGTACAGCACATTGGGGCACAAGCTCACCAACGTCGAAACGGCAAGGATTAATAATGTGAAAATTGCCTTAATTTTTTTATAGAATTACATCTTACAATGCGCAAGCATCAATATTCAGCAAGCCTTTGCGCAGAATTTGCCTACCTAATTGTTCTGAAACTCACCTATATTGTGCAGTATTTCCTTCTCTTTCCAATGATGTACAGCAAATTGGGGCACAAGCTCACCAATGTCGAATTCGCAAGGATTAATAAGTGCTAATCACTTTTTATATATATATATATTAAATGCCAGACTATAAAATTACAATGCGCAAACATCAATATTCAGCAAGCGTTTGCGCAAAATCTGTTTTCGCAAATGTTCCCGAACTCGACTATATTGTGCAGCTCTTCACGCTCTTTCCAGCGATATACAGTACATTGGGGCACAAGCTCACAAACGTCAAACTCGCAAGGATTGATAAGTGCTAATTAGGCTAGATTATAGAATACCCGTTCATTTCTGATACTGTTTATTTTGGGGGGATACGGTGATACGCAGTGAATGAAATGACGTAATTATTCGAGTGTTTGGGTAAATATTAAGTTTCAATGATACGGGGATACGGTGATACGCAGTGAAGGAAATTACGTAATTATTCTAATGTTTCGGTATCAAAATAAACGGGGAATCGTTAATCAAATAATTAATCTATATTTTCAATAATAAAGGGTTATGAATATATTGTATTTCTCGTTCTTAATAAACCCCGCACAAACATTACTCATATATTTTATTTCTCGTTCTCAATAAACCCCTCACAATATTACTCATATATTGTATTTCTCGTTCTCAATAAACCCCGCACAAAATATTACTCGTATATTGTATTTCTCATTCCCAATAAACCCCGCACAAAATATTATTCATATATTGTATTTCTCGTTCTCAATAAACCCCGCACAAAATATTACTCATATATTGTAGTTCTCGTTCTCAATAAACCCCGCACAAAATATTACTCATATATTGTATTTCTCGTTCTCAATAAACACCGCACAAAATATTACTCATATATTGTAGTTCTCGTTCTCAATAAACCCCGCACAAAATATTACTCATATATTGTAGTTCTCGTTCTTAATAAACCCCGCACAAAATATTACTCATATATTGTATTTCTCGTTCTCAATAAACAAATCAATGTCCATAAGACCATAACCAAGAAGAGATAAAAGGTACAGAAACTTACTTACCTTCTTTGTTCGCCGTGCATCGTTTCCTATTGTGCAGCAATTGATCCAGGCCTTCAACGCAACTCTTTGTTGAGAGAATAGACTGCAATACACAGTTAACGAAGCATGTATTCCCCGTGTTTACAAAGCCTTTTAATACATAACCTAATACCATGATGAACTTTGATTGAA